AAGGCCAGCTGGTGCATTATTAGTAATCAATACCAGTGATACCTGTCCTGTCAATATTAGTATCTGCTGTTTAAAATGGACACGTAGTACTGAGTGAAACACTTCTTTTCTTAGACCTGTTGCTTTAAAAATGAACAGTACCAGCCTATGTAACTAGCTGTCACAAGATATCACTAGGACTGCAGCTATTGAAGGGGGAAGAAATAGAAAGGAAAAAAGGAAAGAAAACAGAAAAAGATCTCCTAGTTTATTGAAAGCTTTAGCTTGTCTACGAACACCAAAAAGAAAAGCACTGTGGTTCAAATTCAAAAGCTTATATTTTAATCAAAAGATTTCAGTTTACCTGATTTGGATCCTTCAAGACCACAAGATAAGAATGCTATAAAATAGAACAGAAAATCAGAGCACAAAAAAGTCTCACCAGTTGAGGCTGAAAACAAAAATAAGTACATGTTTTTTCTTTTAATTTTTTTTTCCACTATGAAAATGACCCTAAGGGTCATTGGGTAATGACCAGCTAGTGGGTGCCAAGCAGCAGTTTTTCTTTTAACTAATTACATGTAACTTGTTAGAACAGTGGAAGTGTTTCTAAAGAAAGGTTTAGCTACTCACACAGTTACTCTTCACATTCATAGACATCATAGAAATTATAGAAAAGCGCAGGCTGAAAGGGACCACAGAGATCATCTAGTGCAATTTATCATGATAAAAATAGGGCTGAGACAAGACTGAAAAATATTATCCAGATATTCCAAAGTATTATTCCAATATTCTTGGGACAAAACTAAATGAAGGAATAAAGATTTTCCTGCACAATCAGAGAATGAAGGCAATACAGAATATGGGAAATATTCAGAAGGAGTGTATGAAAAGCTGCTTGGGAATGTACCTACACACATAGTTCAGGGACTGAAGTTCTAAAAGGCATGAACTGCAAAAAGACATGCAGAAGAATTGTGATCCACGATTGAGACTTGATGGATACTGATGAAACCCTGTGTTTAGCCTGAAGATGATAATATTCTACCTTTCAGTGATTAGCATGATACCCTCACGATGCTGAACTTGTCATTGCTTGAAGCCTTTTAAAAGAAAAAAGGCTTTTAACTTTCTCTGTATCACTCAGATGAAGACAAATAATAACCACAATTTCTGAGGTTGGACTTCACCATAACTACCATAGGGAGATGCAGAAAATCAGATCCAGTTCTTTCCCAGTTCTACTGAAAATAGAAAGATAATTTTTAAAAAATTAGCCAGCTCTAATAAGTCAAATGATGTGCAAGTTATGCTGAGCAGTAATATTGAGAGATTTGCATTTGGTAACTAAAGCTAAATAAGGGACAACAGCCTTTGCATAAACTCTCCTTTACTTACTAAGAGTTTTATGCATACTAACAGAACCATCTACATGTACTGGGAAAATATTTCTACCATCAAAATCATAACACTGTCAATATCACAAACACAGGAAAAGCATAAATCAGTATGCATGAAAAAGTGCATTTCCTCACTGGTCAACAACACTGAGAAACTGCTCCAAGTCACTGATTATATTAAGCTTTGAAAGCTCTCTAGTTTTTTATTATTGTAGGGAGGATTTCTATTCTGTTAGGCTTAGCTGCCACAAGTGCTAAGGCTACTGTTAACACTATTAGCACTATCACAGTAAATATGTTCAGGACTCAGGCGCCAACGTCAAAATGGCCAGTGAAATTACCAAAAATTTGTACCTAGGCTGAGAAAAAGCCAAAGAATTTGCTCTAAGAAAGCCCTCTGCAAGAATGAGAGCTTTTTTTATTTGCTTGTATGTTCATCTTTTGACTTTAGTAGCACTGGTACCTCTTATTCTGTTTTTAGAGAATTCATTTTGAATAGAAACTCTGGGATGTCATCTAAAGGGATCAAATAGACAATTGTATAGCTCAGCAGCATAAATTCAAATGGACTTATGACAGAGAAAATAATCCCTCATCTTTCAATTCTCACAGTTAATTCTGTTGGTTTAAGATTCCAGGCAAAAAAGGAGGATCTAGGTAAAAGGACAGTCACCCACTTACTGCCATACAGACAATGTACCTGCATTATCACAGAGGATATAAATCACTACGTTTATTATCATATTCATTATATTTATTATTATTATATTTATTGTTTCTGTCTTCTCCACGTTATGGAGTGGGAATAGATTTGTTACTAAAGGGAGACAGAAATTCTACCATAAGGATTCAGGAATAGCCCAGAGCAGACAAGCACAGTTTACATCAGCATTTCTACAGGTTACGAAGAGCAGACAAACGTAAACTATCTGATACTCAGAAGGCAGGGTATCTTGAGATGAGGAAGGCACCACTTAGGACATTTCTTCTGAGAACCATACATTTGGGTCACAAAATCAGAAACGCTTCCTACTTCCCGCATGCCAACTGTGGTTACTAACGGCAGTGACTTACAGCATGAACACCAAGCCCTTTCCTAAGCCCACATTTGAACAGACCCCACAGTACTGAGGGCACTTGTGCTGAGAGTCTATGAGATATCCACCTCTGTACCAGCTCCTGATACTGTGACATCTGCTGGCTCAGCAATGCTAACTCAGTCTGAATGGGTAATAGACTGCCATAAAACGTGAACCCTTAATGAAGTGAAATAATGTGATCTGCTGAAAATGCTTGGCCTTCTTTTTATTATTATTTGAAAAGAAGTAACAGATGCAGGTCAGTTTATGAATGTAACAGATTTCACTGTCTCGCGCTGGTCAAAGCTAAAATGCTCTGTTGAGAATCCTCTACCTGCGAGTTTGCAACATGCAACATCTTACTCATTTAAGAACATGGTTTCCACTTCAGTACATTCATGATAGAAGGCTAGTCATTATATAAATGTATGGGCTAACAGGGCATAAAAAACACCTACATTGTTTTACATGTTCTAAGATCAGAAAGATTTAGTTATCACTAACATGCAGAACATAAGTGAGTAAGATTACATCAGCAATTTTTTTGCTGCAGTGAAATCCTCTCATGAACGAAGTCGTTGTTCCAGAAGTACAGCAAAGCTCACTTCCAGATCTTGCCTCAAGAATCTTGGAATTTTCCTGGACTAGTTTTCAAAGGCACTAAAAAACTTCCTGATTTGAAAGAAGCATGATGAGGATCTGCTCTCTTGGAGACTTGGCCCAAAAGACAGCTCTTAATAAATTTTAAGACAGTTACCATATGAAACTTAAAGTTAAAAGCAGGGTTTTGTTTTTTTTTTTTAATTTTTTTCTCTGACACCTTTCAAGGACAGTTCACTAATTTTTGTTGAAAACAAACCTTCAGCCTCTCCAGGAAGTCACTGCATTTTCATTGTTAGTCCAAGGAATTATTCATATAAGAAGGAAAATCTTGAAATAGAAGTTGTGAGCCTTCATAAGCAGAAAAGAAAATAAAACGTTTTTTTTTTCATCAAATCAAATCAAACCATTGAATGATGTTTCTTTTGTCCGGGTTTCAGGTTCGTGCTCCCTGGTATCTAGGCAGCAATGGCTTTATCTGTGATTTCAGTAGATCCTGCGTAAGTATCAAATGTCCATCTACAAAATGTTAACAGTCCGTTCTTTCGGTTGAACATCATACTGATGGCAAAGGTCTGAAGTTGATCTAATGTGGTTTGTTAGATTGGATTTCTAGTGTGCACATCATTATAGGGCATAAGTATGAGATCTAGCTGGAACTGATGTCATGTCCAGGAGGTTCCTGCAAGCTGCTGTCTAAACTACATCTTTCCTAAGTCTGTATTGATATCACCTCGTCTTAAGCTGGAAGACTAAGTGAAGATATTGCCAAAGATCAATTGTTAAGATATGCTACTTTAAAAAGCATTCCTAATTTACTATGAAATTATAAAAAAATCTCACCTCATGCCCACAGAAATTAACAACCTTCAGATTCCCCACATGCTTACTTACACTTCATGATTTAGCACCTTACAATAAGACGACGAAAGGCAATATATTCATAAATCTGTCACATGTCAGCTTTTTTCCTCTTTTTGCAAGGGACTGGGAGAGTCTTCTAGAAAGGCAGATATTTGTAACAATGCTCTGAGGGTTAAATAATGATACTGAGGGGGAAAATTTAGGTCAACCTGCATAGTTTTATACAGCCTTAGTGACCAGTATGGAGCTGATCACCACAGCTGATGATTACACAGGAAAAAAAAATTCTCCCAGTGCTCTGTAAGTAAACAGAAAATGCTAACCTTAGCATATTCAAAGGAGCATTTTAGCATGCAGTCATTAAGTTATCTCTTGGTTATTTATTTCTTCTGCTTGTTATTAGCTGTGTGAAGAATATTATTCTAATTATGTCAGCCCAATCAGCAGTATTGCATGTCCAGGCTCATTTCCATTAGTTTGAGCTTTGTCTTTCACACTGTGATACTAATTCAATGAGACATCAAACATTTAAATCGACCCAGGATGCCGAGGTCAGGCAGTTTTGCCCTTCCACTCTATTAGCACTCGAGTGTAATTGTGTTTGTCACTCCCCGCATGACTAATAGTATCAGGGTGACTATCAGAGCACAAATGAGCAATGCACTGATATATTATTTTGTTCTATAATATCAATATGTGTTTATTCAGTGGTTGTGTTAGCCAAGTTGAAATATTCACTTTAATACAGTAACCATAAACTGTTCACTTAAACAGGAGCGTTTACTCATACAATTACTTTGCAGAAATAGAATTTTACTTAAGTGAGAAAAATGAAGAGTCACTTTAAAAATAAGCCTTCAGAGACTCAGTGTCACAACCTAAATTTGGTCTAAAAGCATCAGTTCATTTGCACAACATATATGCAGAGCATATATAACACTTCCCAGCATATAAATATAAATGTACTATGAACTATATGTAATTAGAGAGTGCATAAACCATTGAGGCAATTTAAAAGCAGTTTGCATTTTAAGAAAAATTGAGAGAAATTGTAAGTACAAGTCCTTGAACTGCATACCTGAAGAAAAGGGAACCAAGGAATTTCCTCTACTCTGGTGCAATGGTGCAATCCGCTACGCAATTTCAGCATGTGCTTCACTTGAAAGATGCAGATAATCACTAGCTGATATTGTTCTTGTACATAAAGCAATGCATTTGGCCTAATAAAAGAAAAAAAACACTTCTAAAAATAATTCAGCACATGAAAACTATAAAATCTAATAAATTCTGAAAAATGTAAATTCTCTGTCTTCAGAGTGACAAAGCCTGTATTTTAAACACATTATCATTTCTCTAACAGGTGGTTTTATACTAATTAACATTATCAAGTTCCTGTGCGTTTCATTATCTTGTATGTGCTTTAAAACCTATGTTTTCTAGGTCAGAACTTATATCACCTTAAAGGGAAACTGACCTGTAGCATTCATATTTTTTACTCTTTCATTCTCTAGTGCTGAATAAGGAACATACCGTGCATTTTTGTGTCAGTTGCACAACCAGTTCATTCTGGGTTTGGGAGGTGGGTGTGTGTGTACTCACTTATTTATGATTTGCACTGAGAAAATACTTCTCAGTAGCATACAGCAGTTTTCAGCACTTCCATTGCCCCACAGAAACTTCGGAGAAAATAGTTCAAAGTTTTGTCATCTTACATTAGTCCTGCCATAAAAAAACCACACACAATAACAATTAGTCAACACTGGAGACTATTCAGCAAAATTTTGGGATGCTTAAGTAACTGTCATTATGACTGTTTAACATGAGACTTGAATATACGCCATATTTAAATGTATGCTTTGAGTTTCACTGACTCCAAGAAGGCATGTGAGGAGCTTATTGACTCAACAAACAAAAATTTGTTCTTTCAGTTGATTAGAGATCATATGAGATAATACGGTGAGAGCTCTCAGATTTGAGTCCACACTCTGAACACCAGGAGAGATGTGATCAACACAAGTATTGATACTTTGCTTCCTCCAGGAAAGCACACGGTGTTAACACGTAGAATTCCCTGCTTCAAACGTGCAGCTTTAAGTACAGATGTTGTTCTTCAAGTGAAAACACATTCTACATCTTGTTGGTAATGGTGTTAGAAGCAAACGTTTGTTCTGACACGTTAACTGAACTAACTTCTGAAGTTGCAGATTTAATAAAACCCACAAAGTAAAATTCATTTTAGCATGACAAATTAGAGCAAGCCAAGAAGCAAGCAAACCTACCTGATCTGATCCTTTTTTTAAATTATTTTGTTTTATTTTTGCCCTGCTACAGGAAGAAACAAAACAACAAAAAAGACACCAGAAGATTATCTAACTAGGGATTCAGAACCAGGGATTTAGAAATGGCTTCATGCTACATGAAGCCATACTTGATCTGAACTTCCTGATGTTTGCACACCACTGAGTACCAGTAATCACTATCCTCCACGTTCTCAGCCTGTGATGAATCTACAACAGACCAAACTTGGCATCATGCCCAGTCTACCTTATATATCTTCTCCAAATCATAAACTTCCTAAACTAATGCTTCCCTGTGCAAAGACATTGGGAAGAAAATAAATCTTCTGCCTTATCAGGCTGTTTTAATTCATTGAACTTGTATGCGTTAACTGAAAAAAAGATCCTTACACACATCAAAGAGACACAAGCATATTTTAATCATTTTTCATTGACCTTTTCCTATCTGAACATCTCAATAGAATGAACAAATCTAACTTCCTACTACACCACAATTCTGTTTGTCCCCATTTCTAAGGGAATAACTAAGTAGACTTCTTGATTTCTTTAATTTGTGCAGTACCATCCATGGTCATTAATAGCTCAGACACAAATTATGTTTTTATTTTAACTTCACAAGTTGCTCAAATATAGAAGAAGTATCTTTTATGGAATGCATTACAAATGGGACAACTCATTTCTAGCTCTCCAAGACCAGTCTGCTGTGTCACTGATTTACAACGCAGTCTGGGATGCATCACTAAAAAGTACCTTTTAATCACACTGACCTGCCTGTGCTGAAGATACACTATAAGCTACCAAGTGGAACTCAAGAGAGATGTTTGTCTAAAGTACATTTCCTTTGCTGCTCTACAGATGCAGCAAATATTTGTGTTCCTAACTATGCCCTTCCCAATTAGGTTGTTATGTATTTCTAATGAGTAAAAGTAGGTTTCTTTGCTCTGAGTTCAGCTTCAAAGACAGTTTGTTTTTGTTTTTTTTTTTTTAATTCTCATCAGTGACAAGCAATACCTATATATGGTAGAGCTGATGCATGCTTTTCTAACAAAATATTTATTTTGATAAAAAACAAGCTAAGTGTGGGTGGCAGGAAAAACTGTTTTCTGCCCAACTCTAATTATATATGTATATAGACACATATGTGAAGAGTAAATGTACTGTTTTGCATACTTTGTTTTCGCCTACCCATTCACAGTAATTAAGCCCATGTGAATTATATTTATTCCCATGAGTTCAACCCTCCCTTTTGACAAATCCAACGATTAAACACATAATTCTAACAAGACTATGCAACACAGAACTGCTGCCACTTGGTTGCAAGAACTTTGCTTTCTGTTATAAACATTTGGCTTTTTAAAAAAACAACAACAATGTTCATCTTTTTCCCTTTTCCCCCTTAATTTATGCTTCTATCAATATAAGCAGCAGCTCTAAACACAAAACATTTGTCATCCCAAAGAGGAGAGTGTTATCCTTCACTCAGCAATGCAACTTCTGTGTGGCATAGCTGGAAGTTATACCAGTACTTTGAGGGCCATCCCTAACTACACCCAGAAAAGGCTGAGAAGTAACTATCACATTTGTATTAAAATCATAACATAAAAGAAAGCACTGTCACTGGAAAGCTATCCATGCCACAGATAGCCAGCCGGTTGTACGGGCAGCCTCAGAGGTTCCTACCCTAGAAAATAAAGAGAGGTTGCAGACCAAGTGCATTGCTCATACACCAGTACTATTTTGTTTCTCTTCAAGTCTCCATAAGATCAGTTACTAATTCTTCACCAAAGATGACAATTGGCTCAAGCACCATTTGACTGATAAGCCAGTGCAGTACTTGAAATCCAAGTCAGTGACAGCTAAATTCTGCAAATAAGCTGCACGAGCACATTTTGAAATAAAGGCTCGTCAAGAAAACCCAGCATCACTCTAACCAAAATCAAAAGAGGCTCAACAGCAAAATAAGTTGTGCTTCAAATGATAACAATATGGCCCACTGCGATCAAGCTGATGGGGCTGCTGCCTGATCTAACAATGCAGATATTGTCAGCAACAATTAAAAAGCTGGGAGGAGTGCCATGGTGGAACTCTTTTGACTTCTTTGCTGAAGGAGGGAATGTTTGCTCCCAACACAGATAATCACAGCTAACACTGTAACTCAGTATCCATTTCCTTTGAAAATCAGGTCCATTATAAATACTGCATGGTTACAACTTAAAGTAACAAAAAATCCCCATGTACTCTTCCTATCAATTTGTACAACAGACCGTGGGGAAGTTCCATTGTTCAGATGCTGCAAACCAGTGGGCTATTTTGCTAGTGAAAGAACGAAAATACAGAGTCAGTGTTCATTGCACAGGGGGGAGAGGAACAGGCAATTCAAGCAACCAAATCCACTAAACTACTTTTATAGTAAAGAAAAGGTCCTCATTCTCCATTTTTATATTTTAGTACCACACAGTGTTGAGGCCTGTTAATCCTTTATAGCATATTGATGAAAAAAAAAAAAACACACCAAAACCATCTGCAACTCAGTTGTCCAAACAGTTCACAACAGTAGAGTGGCAGTGATACATCCGTGTGGTCCAAGGCCATGCAGCACTGCTCCATCTGCAACCCACCATTGTCACACATAGCACACAGGACCCTCTCCCAGTCCCACACACTTCAGAACAGGACATCTTTTGGGAAAGCCTATACAGTTAATTTGAAACATAAACATAGGTAGGTGTCAGAGGAATGCCAGTGTAACGCAGACAAATCAGAGGTGTTTCTTAAATATTTAGTAAACAGAAACATAGGAATTTAAATGCAGGAGTCTGAAATCATTTCCTTGTTACAGACTGCTGAAAAATTCCACGTTTCAAACCCTAAACTAACAATTTTCTGCTTAATTTCCAGTGCAGATTAGAATGTGCTAATATACAATGCAATCTACTACAGCATTGAGCTCAATATCCATACATGTATATATATATATGTATACACACTCACCTCTAAGACAGCATAGATTTACACCCTTGAAGTAAAACACACAGGTGTGACTTCAAAAGGATTTGCCTTTATTTGCCAGATAAAATTACAGACACATCACGTCTGCAGTAGTGGTCCTGATTCCACTTTATGTGAGATATGTTGTCCCTTTGTTTGCTGCTGACAAGCGTAAAGAGCCACTTTCACTGCAGATAATAATGGTTAATTTATCACACCGAGCAGTGGCTGACCTCTGTGCGTCCCTGGCCCTCCATCACCTTCACACCTGCTCAAGCTAATTGTTAGAGCCAAGTGTAAATGAAAATCAACTGGGCTAATAATGGATGGAGGCCATTACTCGCAACAGCACGTTGCTTTACAAAGGTTTATCAAGCTTTGAAATAACTAGTCCCTTATTCACAGTTCCTTGTTTTATAAACAAGGGTAAGACAAACACCTCAAGCCAGGAAAGAAAACCAGGCAGCAGGGCAAAACGCTTAGGTTTGAAGCTGCTTCTATAGGATCTTAGCACAGCAAATAATGCAGAGATCAGAAAACACAAGCTGGAATTCCCAGCTCATAATGCAAGATCAGTATTTTTAAAATTCTGGAACAGGGGAAGGAATTTGGCCATTTAACACAATGCTAGTCTGCTAAGAATAATGTACAAGTATACTGACTAACAAACAGACAAACATGTGAAAATCCAGCCCCTAAGTCCTTCATAAAACATACTAAAGATTTTCTCAGTAAAAAGCACAAGGCACCCTACAACTTCAAACATTGTTTCGAAGAATTTTATCTCGCAGGTACCCCTGGCTCCAGAAATCTCAAAATAGAACATAAAATGCCAAAACAACTTATTAACGTTTTAGCAAGTCCAGCCTCCCATATCCACATTCATTTATCTTCATCCAACAGGAAAAAAATTATTTAACACCTTGGTCTCATAA